TTTTTTTGGGACATTTAGGCCAATTAAGGCAAACTCACACACACAACACATACACATGGACTCGAACCTTAGACCTCTTAGTTGAAAGCCTAAGCTCTCAACCAATAGGCCAAGGGGAGTTGTGTACTACCTTAATAAATCACTACTAATTATATTTATTACCCGTTCACTTCTCAGGCGTTTTCAGCTACCGACAGTTCTTGTCCGTTAACAAATGTTGCAGGATTCCGTCCAGTAAATGAGGTCAGTCATACCAAATTCAGCTTATTTTATCTGAGATCTTTTTATTATCTGCGTATCTTCTGCTGAAATATTTGAAGTCCTTGTTTTTGGTTGATCATATTGCAAGGAGTCTTGTTTTTCCTCTTTGAGTCCTTTAACTGATTGTCCTTCTTTATGATTCTTTTCATTAAACCAAGTAGTACCCACATTGCTTTACTGTATAAACCTTATCAATGGGTTGCTTCCTACCATCATAATTTAAATTTGCTTACTTGATAAGATATATCTGATCTGATGGATCTTTAAAGCAAATATCTTCAATCTATTAAAGTGCAAGCGTTGAGTATTTTTCCATGAGGTTTTCTTTTTTATCATTCAATATGATATTTATTGTCACTACAGGCTTTATAAATGAAATGTTAAATCATCATTCAATTATGTTGGGGTGCAACTAATGTGAAACAACCAGGATTTTAAAGAAATAATAAAAGTTTTATAAGCTTGCTACTTCACGAATAATGGATTACAAAAAAGATTAAAGAGTTATTTTTGGCGACTTGTTTTAGCAATCGGTTGCAATTTAGAAGGAGAAGCCAATTCAAAACAAAATCGACAAATCAGAGTAAAGTTTAATGCACTTGTTATAACAATCCATAGGTTAATGTCAAGAGTTTTCACCTGAAGTTCCCTTGTACCTCTCCAACGTTCTATGGGAATTATTTAATGGAGAGAAGTCTTGAGCGAACTGGACGATGCCACTTAAGAGGACGGTGACGCCGATGGTCTTGATGAAAGGGAAGTAGCCGGAGAAGGAGGTAAGGTTGAATGTCCCACGAGTTGCCTCTACACGGTGAAGTAGGATGTGATCTACGTAGTCTTCAACGGAATATTCTCTTCCTTGCTATAGAATTCATGTGGATTAGAGCTTCCAAGAGAAAGGTAGGAGAAAGAGGGGGTCGGCCAAGGAGAGAGGGGGTGAGGGTTTGGGTTGTGTGATTTTGGTGTTAGGTTTAGGTGGAGGGATGATTACTAAATTTGAATTTAGTTTCAATTCAAGTAAATTGGGAGGGAATTTGATTTGAAATTTGTTTTCAAATTCAAATAAGGTTGGGATTTAAAAGGGAAATCCAAGGTGGAGCCCCATCATGGGGCCGGCGGCATTAATAGAGGGAGAGGGGTTTTGTGGAGGGAATTAAGAGCTTCCAAAACAATCTATGTAATTTAGGAAAGTAATTATTATATCCAATCTAATTTGAAATTCAAATTAGATCTAGATTTAATCACATTCCTAATTTAGAATTTTAAAAAAAGTAAAGTATTTGAAATTCAATATTTGAATCTCAAATAATTAGAATTCTTTCCTTCTTGGCTTGGCTTAATTTAGGAAAGCAACTATAATGAGGGAAATCATCATAATGATGGGGATTGTGGAGTGGGCCGGCGGCATGGGGGGGAAATTGGCTCGGGTGGAGGGAAATAGGCCTTGGGCCGGCGGTGGAGATTTGGAGGTGGGATTGACGCAAGGAGGGGAGGTGATGGTGGCCGTCGGGTAGGGAGGAAAAAGAGGAGGCTAGGGCGGTGGAAAATGGGAGAGAAGAAGATGTGGGAAAACCAAGAGCTCACCCGCAGGGGCTGTAGGGTACTTCGTTTGATCCTCTTCTAGGCTCTTCCTCTCTCAAGTGCACACACCAGAAGGAGACAAATTTGAATTTCATTCAAACTTTCATTAAAAATTGATACAAAGACTTTGACCACTATATATAGGCTTTGTTAATGAAAATAAATAAAGACGCATACACCCCTTGGGCTACAAAGCACTAAACTCCCTCATAGAGGTAAAAAGGTCCACTGAAACAAAAATAATAAAATAAAACTAATACAATAACAAAGAACTAAATAATATATGCTTCTGATCTTGGCCGTCGATTTGCGATATCTCCTGTGATAAACACGCTGGAAACGATGACTGATGTCCTCATCAGCAACCGTCTAACATTTTTTTTTTAAAACTATGAGAACATCGTCTGTTAGGTTCTCTTCTTTGTAATAATAAACTTGGGTGATAGAAATGAACTGCTTGCTGTAATCTGTTAAATTACCTGTCTCCACTTTTTTATGGAAACTGATGCAGCACCTTAGTTGATCAGCCTCTGTGATTTTACACTATTTTTCTAGCATGTTTTATGAAAGAGACTTAACATAACAAATTTCCTTCATTGGCAGCACCAAGGCCAGCTGCAACTTTCATCTAAACATCAAATACAACATCTTCAACACCCAACTCAATTTAATCCTCTCCCGCAAGGACATCACCCAACAATGCAACAAAGCCAACTTTCTCCACACTTCCCTCACTTGCATCAATGTACGCATTCATCTCATGTACCTGATATTGCTCATCAACATCTAGCGCCTACCATGCCTCAACATATGCCCTGCATGCAATCACTTCCTGGAGTTCATGTAGGCAGCCGTTTACATTTGCTGGTAAGAATTTCTTTATTCATTATCTTTAATTATTTTTATCAAAAATCATAATATCATAGCATGGGAGGCTCTCTCTTATTCAGTAGTTGTTACATAGTTAAATTCCATGTAGTACAAGTTTTGACACCAATCTTTTTACGCTTGAAGAGTACAATACTTAAATGAGATTTTAACTTCCAAATTGATATTTCTTGAAGGCATTGTGGTTTTTCATGTTGATCATTTTATTGGATTTTAAAATGCTACTTCCCACTTTGTTAGATCTTTACTTTACTGGTTGCTGTGTGCTTATTTCAGATTAATTGAAGCACGTCTATGTTAAATTAGTATTGAAGATGTTATTTTCATGAGCTTGGTGGTTGAGCTCCCTCCCTTTTCTTGAAATCTCAGGTTCAAATTTCTGAAATGATATTTCAAATTAAATTTATGGAGACATGGTACGAAAGATGAGTTCCAAATGTTGAAAAGCATTGAAGTTGAAGCCCTTCACATCAGGATATAGAATTAATTTTGAAGCCCATTTGATTTAGAATAATTTTTAGTAAATGCACTGTTCTTGAAGCCATGATGCTTTTAGTATATTCATTGATGGTTAGATAAGGGTATTTTAGTTTCCTACTACATGGCATTATCCTTCACTATGGGTTAAATTCCAGGATGTTTTATGATATTAGTCAAAACTGTAATCAGAACAATGCTAATATCGATGTACGCAGAATAATGACACCATACGTCTAATTTGTTTTGGCACCATTGACATGAACTGTCAACAAATTTCAGTGTTATGTCCAAAGCTTATTACCAGTTTACATATTGACACAATAAACGTGTTCTGTAAGCATGTTTTTTTTTTTCACACTAACACAATATGTACCTAATCTGTATGAACATTGACAATTGTGTCGTACTTATTTTAGTTCATTAATGGTTTATTTGAGAAAAGTGGATGGTTGCATTAGCTAGTCGACAACCAGCGTAAAACTTACCGAATAATCATGAAATCAATCCTTTTAATGCATTTTGTTAATTCTAGGGTGTTCCCTGGAAGCGACGTGCAGGTAAGAGTTTGAAGGATAATGTTGTAAAAATTACTACAATTGGAGATAATATTATAACTTTAAATATTATTGTTGCTATGATTATTAATATTATAAATGCTTATGCTTCTCAAGTAGATTTGAATATGTGTTCAAAATTAAAATTTTAGAATGACTTAGAAAAATTAATACAAAAGATACCTCTTGAAAAAATATTTTTTATTGGAAGAGATTTAAATGGACATGTTGATAGAGAGAGATAATTTTAAAAGCATTCATGGTGGCTATGGGTTTGGAGCGATTAATGAATGTGGTAATACCATATTAGATTTTTTTTATAGCTTATGATTTTGCAATTGTGTTAGACCGGTCTTGTTAGACTAGTCCACTGGACCGGCTTGCGAAACAGAGGCGGGATTGCGGAGATCGGGCTATATGAACGCCCAAGCGGAGCTATGAACGCCCAAGCGGAGCAATTTAGGAAGGATTTTTGAGGGAAATTTGAATGTAGGGACTGTTTAGAGATTTTCTTTTGAATTATATGCATTAAATAGTTTGTTTTCCTAGGGTTAGGGCATCTTGAATTTGGTTGAAATTTGATATATCTTAGATTTAGATTTTTCTTTGGGCTCTAGCGACATCTAAAGATTGGGAGAGATCGATCCTCCTCTCGAATAGAGGATCAATTATATCTTGGTATTTTCTGCTTCCTTTTCATCAAATAATACAACTAACCTGACAATCTCATATTCTAATTGGAAATATGTGACTGCGTAGTCTTATGATGCACAGACACAGATACAACGACACGAACATGACATATACAATTAACACGTTAATTCTTAAAAATATAGGACACGAACACGGGTTGGACGCGATATTATAATTTTACATTTTAAAAATAGTGTATAAAAATTGAATAAGCATAATATTAAAAATAATTTAGAAATAATCAGTCATTTAACTAGAATTTGTGCTTAAAATGATTAATATTAGAATATCGAGAGTCAGGCGTCGATGCTATGTATCAAGCATTGAGAAAGGAGGTGATAATGCTTTTGAGAGTCGGGCATCTGCGCAGTAAGTGTTGGACGTCGATGTCAAAAGGTTGTCTGTCGTCAATGTTGAGAGGACGTTGGTCGTCAATGTTAAGGCGACGTCGGAAAAAGATGAGCTGTCAAGTTGTAGGCGTAGAAATTGCTAGTGTCGAGCATCAATGTCAAGAGAATGTCAGACTTTGACGTTGAGATGGTTTTGAAGTGTCGATATTGTAACGACGTTAATCGTCAATGTCGAGATGACATTAGACATTGTTGTGAAACCAAAGTCATGGCCCGTCATAGAGAAATGAAAATGATAATTGATACGTCATGGGGTATTGAGTGCGAACGATTGATTTGGTGTTGTGAATATGAAATAAAAAGTTTAGTTTTTATATTTTAAATAAATAAAAAATTTAAATACAAGAGATTATATTTTAAAAAAATTCATAAAATATTTAAGACATGAGTTTCATAGACGTGTGTTCAATTTATATTTGATATTTTTTTAATCGAACACATTTTTGACGTGTCTGACACATGTCAGGGGTGTGTCAGATACGTGCCAAACATTGAACGCCAAATGATAATATTCAATGAATGGGGTATTGAGTGCGAACGATTGATTTGGTGTTGTGAATATGAAATAAAAAGTTTAGTTTTTATATTTTAAATAAATAAAAAATTTAAATACAAGAGATTATATTTTAAAAAAATTCATAAAATATTTAAGACATGAGTTTCATAGACGTGTGTTCAATTTATATTTGATATTTTTTTAATCGAACACATTTTTGACGTGTCTGACACATGTCAGGGGTGTGTCAGATACGTGCCAAACATTGAACGCCTCTTTAAGGAAAAGTGTATGTGCGACGTAGTCTTGATTAGAAATCTTTTGTGAATACTCAGATATATTGTTAGTTGTCTTAAATGGTTTTGAATTGAGAGCAATCGCTTAATCAACTTATCATATAATTTTGAATTTTGCCTAAATCGATTTTATAAGAACCTTCGAGGACAAGTGCTGAGAGATGTTGTTATACAATGATGAGAGGGTTCACGTTATTGGTAGGGGTGTCAAAACGGGTTAACAGGTTGGGTTTGGGTCCAACGACAACGACGGTAGGCCAGACAACGATAGCGACAACGGCAACATCATCATGGGCAGGACGACAGTAGGCCGGTAGCGACAACTCAGACTCGAGTGACACGAGTGACGCAAACCCGAAGTGACGACGCATGTGATTGATGGCTTGATGCTACGAGTGATGCGACAAATCATTGTCATGGCGACCGAGTGGCGAGACAGCCCGCGTCTGGATGTTACAAATGAGTCAATCCGGGTTGGTTTCGGGTTTTCGGGTCAACCCGAACCCGACCCGATTTACAGATGGGTCGAAATTATAAATCCGAACATGACCCGTATGAGAAACAGGTTAACTCGAACTCAAACTTTTTCGGGTCGGATTTAGGTCGGGTTTCAGGTCGTGTCAGATTTTGAAACCCCTATTTGTTGGGAGAAGAGCTGCTGAGGTAGGTGGGATCACGTTGAAGGATGAGCTGTTGTTAACGTATGGTACGAGAGTTGCCGAAGTCTAGTGTTGGAGGATAGGTTACCGAAGATGATAAGATTGTTTTGCTGGAGGGATAACGTTCATGAGAGAGATCATGAGATTGTGTTGTTGTTGAGGACACCCACAAAATATAGACTTTCATGAAAGAGATGACTCTTAGGGCTGCAAATGAACCAAGACGAGCTGAGTATGTGAGTGTTCATGTTTGAGTTCATTTATTATCAATTTGTTCAAGTTTGGTTTGTATTTGATTCAAGCGTTATTGTTTGTGTTCATGTTTAGTTCGTTTAAATTAATGAGCGTTCGTGTTTGATTTATGTTCGGTTTGTTTAGTGCTTATCGAGCTTTAAACAAGAAAGTCTTAAAAAGCTATAAACAAGCTCTACTTCTAGCTGTTCATGAACATACTTAGCAAACGAGCTTTATCGAGCATTCTAACAAACAATTACATTAAGCATGTTTGTGAACATATTTAGCAAATTTTTTTAATCAATCAAACAAGCACGTTCATGAACATATATGACGAGTATTCTTTAGTTATCAAATGAGCATGTTCATGAACATATATCAATGTTTAAAATTGCGTAATCAGGTATTGAGACGTTTTTCGTTCGTGAGGCGAGACGAAAGCCTCAAGGCGTTTTGAGGCGTAAGCCTTAAAATGAAAAGATTGCGTAAATATAAAATGATAATTTTTTATATACTAATGAGCAAATAATATAAAACATAAAAAAACACAAGATATAAAGTGAAATCAAAATATCCCAATAATAAGACAACATG